TGCTGTCCCCTATGCCAGCTAAGGGGACGAGCCCTTTCTCCCCCTCCCCACAAAGGCTGGAGATCCCCGGCAACCTCAGCTGGAGGTTTCTTGCCCACCAAGCTCTGCTGAGCCTTGTCCCAAGCTGGCCAGAACCCAGTGGTTCTGCTCCTCCCCATGCACGGCAGCCCCCTGCCCCCCCAGCCAGTCCATGCCGCAGCCCTGACCCCCACCACAGCGGCAGCGATGTCCTCGCCCATTGGCCCCCTGCAGTTGGGAGCACTGCTGGCTCCCCGGGGCTGCCATGTTGCCGGAGGGGCACTCACCTACGGAAGTCCAGTAGGGGCCGGGTGGTGGCAGGGATGCCCTCGGCTGGCCAGCTGAGGAAGTGGAACTGCGTCAGGGTGCGGGTCTCTTGAGACTGCACGTTCTTCAGGTAGAAGCTGCGCACCAGGAAGTCCTCACACCAGATGTGCTCCGACACCAGGTTCACCTGCCCGAGAGAGGCGGCCTGTGGCTATCAGCACTCAAGGGACAGGGGGCTGGAGGATGCTCCTTGCCCCAGGCTACTGGCCACACTTGCCTCATAGATATGGTAGAGAGAAGAACCTTCATCTGGCCAGTAGCGGTCACACTGCTTGACACTGTCCTCGGCCAGCGGGCTAAGCATGACGATGACGGTGCAGCCGTGCTCCCACACCATCTGCCAGCAAGGCACAGCGGGGGGCCTCTGAGGGGGGCCAAGCCACTGTGACCCATGAGGTGGGCAGCATGCAAAGGGACCCTGGCGGGCTGGCACTGCTGGGTGACACTCACCTGCCAGAAGTCAGCGATAGTGTGAGACAGTGGCCCCTGTGTAGCGATGTATGCTGGCATCCGTGGGTCATGCTCAATCTGGAGTGGGAAAAGGGGTGTCAGACTGCGTGCTCTTCAGGCAGGGGTAGGTTACACCAGGAAGAGGTGCAGGATACTCCATGGTGATGGGAGGGCTGGGGAGGGAGGTTCAGGTGCCACAGCCAGGAGGGAAATGGGCTTTAACCACATCTGAACAGTGGGGCAGGCACATTGCTCACAAGCTGAGTCCAGCTCCATCCCAGACTGGGAGCCTCGCCTGTGCTGAGCACACCACAGAGTGGGGTGGCAGGGCAGGAGCCCCTGGTGGTCACTCACAATCGGACTGGCGTTGATGAAGTCACTGCGGGATGGGTTGCTCTCGGCTTTCAGCTTAATCCGCACATGGTCATCTGGGGAAATGGAGACCAGGAGCTGTGGTGAGTGCCTGGGAGAGCCAGGCATCCCCATGCCCCGCACTGCCCTCCTGCCAGGGTCCTGGGAGCTGGTCCCTAGACAGTTCAGATGCTCACAGGGCACATAGTCAGGGTTGCGGTTCTTCTTCAGGTTGGCTTCACTCTGGGCAATGGAGCAAATGCTGGGCTCTGCCTGGTAGGCACAGAGGGCCTGCCACTCCTTGGCCAGTCGGTCCCGGTTGCGGAGATGGTCCTCCATGTAGGCCTGGGACAGAAGGGCAGGGATCACCCCGGCAGCCAGTGGGGTACATGGGGGGCTGGGGAGGGGGTCACCTCCCTGGCTCACCAGGATCATGTGTCCGGTGGAGATGTCCATGTTGGACTGGACAGGCTCCTCGCACCAGGAAGGTGTGCTGCTGTGGGAGCTGGGGCTGGGCTGTGGGGCATCGCTGAACTGGGACGAGACGCTGCTGACCCGTGAGGTCTCTGCAGGGGCTGCTGGTGCCTCAGCGCGGCCAAAGAGAGACTTCGCAGCCATGTGCTGGCGGCACAGCTCCTGGGGGACCCCAGTGAGAGCCCTG